GCTTTTTATCAGTTAGAATCCGCGCCTGGGAAACCTTTACTCCATAAACCAAAACCATGAACCAGAAATCTAACCAAGGGAAACCTATTTCGTGGCCTGCGTTACATGGATGGCGGGTGAATGTCTGCCGTGCGAGCCGAGCCGTACGCGTACGAGCCGTGCATAGTGCAAATGGTTGAATATTTCCGATTTCGAGCGCTGTGACTGTTTCTTTGGATGACGACTTTGTTTAGTGTTTAGCAATATTTCTTATTACAGCACCGCTCATGGACCGAAATCGCAACGTTTTTAAGTAGCATTTGAGCAGCGTACATATAACCACCCATGGAATTTGTCCGCCAGCCCGTTATGACATATCCACGCGCAGCTATCATACGTTTCAGCTATGGACCTGGGACAACACACCACGAACTCGTAAAAACATGGAGCAGGGCGTGAAATGCTTGTCGGCGAACCAATCACTGGAGCGTCGCTGTTTCGATCACTTGGCTTATCGAATGTCCGGCACAGGAGCGGCCGGATATCCGGCACTATGAGGGGGTAGGGGCAGGGGGAGGAGCGCACGAAACGGAGGGGCCGCCGGGCACAGGAGAGGGCGTGTGTCTGACACAGGAGCAGCCTTCCAGCATTGGAGTGGGCGCACCTTTGGCACTGGAGCTGCCGTGTACCCGGCGCAGGAGAGGCTGCATATCCGGCACAAGACATGCAGCGCGTCAATCACAGGGGAGGCTGGGTGTCCGGCACGGGAGAGGCCGCATATCCGGCACAAGCCATGCAGCACGCCAATCACAGGGGAGACTGGGTGTCCGGCACGGGAGAGGCCGCATATCCGGCACAAGACATGCAGCATGTCAATCACAGGGGATATTGGATGTCCGGCACAGGAGAGGCCGCATATCCGGGACAAGACATGCAGCACGTCAATCACAGGGGAGACTGGGTGTCCGGCACGGGAGAGGCCGCATATCCGGCACGGGGCATGCGGCATGTCCATCACGGGAGAGGTCGCATGTCCGGCATAGGAGAGGCAGCGTATCCGGACCGGAGAGGTAGCACTGCAGTGGGTGCGTGTCCGTCACTAGGGTGGGCGCACGCGCGGCACAGGAGAGACCGCAAGGCCAAAGCGGGGCGAGTAGGCGTCGGCGCCGGGCTGCGGAGAGATTGACCCCCGCCTAATTCGCCGTTTTTCATAACGCGGACGATGGGGGAAGTGGGAATACAACTTCGCTGCCATTTCTACACTGAGAAAGATGGGGACTCGCAAGAGGAAATAATGGATGGGCCTCAACAATATCTTACGATGGGCAATAAGTCGCATGTTACTAGGTCTATTATCAACCCTATTATTAGACCACGCCAAAGGCCGAATTTTCCTGAAAGTCTGACTTTGTTAACTCAACATCCCATAAGGTATGAGAGCATGCCTAGTAACGACACGGAGTTAAACACGCGTGTTTCTACACATATTTGTGATGAGGGGACCCGTTATTCTGTAACGATGTCGGCGTGCCACGCGCGGTCTGAGGAATCGCGGGCGGCCGCCCGTCGCCCGCGCCTGTCATGGATCGCCGTGCAGTGTTACTAAGACAGGAACTTTCCTTACACCAAAACTGCTGGGGGCACGTGTTTTATGCCTAAACAGGTCTCTTGGATGCCCCAGATGATACCGGAAATTTGGGCGTGATTGCACAACATGGCGGAGAGATTTTCTTCGAAAACCTTAGGAGGTTGTGTGCCAAGCTGATTGTCATTTGGAGGTGCGAGATTGTGCACAGTCTGCTGTCCTCGGACCCCAAGTGAATCCACGAGACCCGCCTCATCGCAGACCCAAAATCAGGTCAGCAGCTGCTGGAGACGCGCCTTCCGACCATATCCTTATCCACTCTGCTAGAATACCGAGGCTGGTGCACGCATTGTACGACAAATGCACAACCTGACTCTGCACTGGAGGCTGGGTCATGCCAGTTTCAATCATGGGAAAGAAGATGCTGACTGCCCGGCCAACCAAGCGGTGGATTTGAACCAGACCATCCATGCTGTCCACCTGACCAGGGCGCAGCTGTTATCAGTTGCAACACTGTTGATTTGGTCCATATCAGAGCCGTGGTAACCCGCGCCAAAATGCCGCACCCGATGCCTGAGCCGGATCCACAGGGGCTCATGACTGTCCCTCGGCTGCGGATGGATAGCATTTAAATATGTGAGCACAGGGAATTCGATCCTTCGTCCGGACGCGCAGTTAGATTACCTTATGTCACGGCCCGATCTATGATCTCAGAAACCTAAACTTGGAATTGCAATCACTTGTACTGACAACAGATGGGTAATGCTCTCGCACCATCTTGAAGACAGATGTCCCAGCCCTTGATATGTGCCACTGACCCACAATGCTATCCTTGAACCAGCTCAGCAGAACCACGAGAACCACGAGCCATGCCTTCACAGCTTAGGAGTTTCATTAATATCTCATGTATCATCAAGGCGAGAGTTTATCACGTACTAATGTTCATTATTTATAAGTTATTATTTATCAAGCCATCATGTATTATTCAGTGGAGTGGCAATTATACTACAAAATAACAGCATGCAGGTAACAACATACGTCGTTTGTGCTTTGCACTTGTCTTTACACCATACGCGCACGATTTGATTAGTAGTATCAATTTGCTCTAAATCCTTTTGAACAGTTCAGAATTTCGATTTGAACCAGCCGACCCTGCGGGAAAAATCTCATCTGACTTCCTGCTCACCACTATAAAAGTAATACATGTTAGTTGCCTTGCCTTTTCCAACGTGTGCGTTTTGTAATGTTTGCGATATACTACTGTGTACAAATGTTTCTGTAGTAAGTGCTACGAAAGCTTGCAACACTCCGTTAAGGCAAAAAGACACGCGAACATGGAGCTGCAAGCTGCTCCCGCGAATCAAACGAAACATTCTACTATGGCTTTGATTTCTCGCCTGCGGCGTTTACCACAGTGTCTCTCTTCGAGGCACGCTCTGACTTCGACAACGTGAGCATCACATGATTCATAGGCCGCACTGGTTCAAACTTCAACCAACAACAACTTCAAAACTTCAACAAAAACAAAACTTTAGCAAACTTCTGACAGCGTAATCTGGACCCTAAAAAAATTAACTTGATATCTTATCATGTCTTGACGGCACTGCAGTGGAACTTCCTACAGCTGTTATTGGAGGTAACTACTCCTAAAATTCCACTACTGTTTTTTTTTCTTCAAATACGCCCTAAAGCTGGGACACTCTCTTTCACACTCACCCTAATCGGCGGATGCGGCTGCTCCCTAAGGTTTTCTGATGGTGCCTCTCTGGTATGTTGTGCAATCGCGCCCAAATTTTTGGCGGCCTCTGATCTGGCACCAAAAAATTGTCCCTAGCATTCCTGATTTTTAAGAAACGAGGCTTTTATAGCAGCACTGCAAGGTGATCAACGGATGGTGCGGATGTAGGCCAACACTGTTACATTAATCAAGCCCTAAATGCTACACTGGTGCTAACAGAACATAAAACTACACACCATTGTACCGCTAATTAAATAAGGTGCACGCTGAATGGATTGTATGTTACTATATGGTATGGTCTCGTGCATATATGTACACACGTAAAGCTGAAAAAATGTTCGATTTTCAGGAAAATGTGGCCCTTGTCCTATTTAATAAAAAATATATATCTAGCAACGCAAAACTTCTTACCAATCGCGAAATCTAGTTGAGATCCATCTTTTTTCTTTCCGCGAGGCTCTGTCTTCTTCAGTTTGCAACGTCATGCGGGGGGGGGGAGTCGTATCGATCTCCCCTACCCCTCCATAAGTCCGCGCTATGAAAAACGGCGAAACAGGACGAGGGCTAATGAATGAGCCGTGGCTAAGCATCATGTTTGGTATACTCATCATGCAGTTTATATTTTCACTCGTGTATGCCCAATGACATAACCATGACACAAAAAGGAGGCACAACAATCAAGCAGAGAACATTTGATGAAGCCATCAGTACCGCATGTATTCGCATGATGTCTTGCCTGAACACACCACAAACCTACAAAATGGCATCAATCCCATAGTATTTCTAGCAAAAAATTATCTGGCTTCCAAGCATTCAAGAGATCTATCACCGTTAGGTGAGTGTTAAATTGGATGTGATAGGTAAAACGAACTACACATCAACAATTTTGCCACTTTCAGCAATATTTTTGGCCCAAGACCCTTACCTGGCTCCTTGAGTAAATCCTGATTGCATCCCTGGTAGATAAATGTTTACAACTATGTGACATGGAAAACAGTGGTTATCAATTCTGCACTGAAATGCAGCTGTCCGCTAATGACCTTCACGAATACATATGTGTGTAAAAATAAATACAAACACATAAATAATGTGCGTGCGTGGGGAGCAAATCTGGGAGCAGCTTGTTTTAGTTGCATTTTATGAGCAGGCTCGAACATTTTTCTTCTTCTTGAGCTCCCCTTCCCCTACTCCCGTGTATTTTGCAAAACCGCATCCCTGTAGCCGCAAATCTATCAATTAACATGGTACTGCAGGCGCCTGAAAATAACATCACACAAAGGACAACATCATGCATTTTAGGGTATCGCTGGTGTATGCTCCGCACACTGCCTGTCGCACCACGGTTTGACGATAGTTGTTGGGTGCGCTGAGTTGGGCGAACACAAAGTTTGCAGACAGCAGGCAAATATCAACCAAAAAAGGCAAGCATAAAGCCAACATCATTCCAGTGCGAACCATGCCCCCTGCTAACATGACGATCCTTTTAACAAGGCCACGCCTTCTCACCATTCCGAAAGCACTTCACCAAGTTGGTCGTTACGGGTGACCAAAACAATTCGAGGAATCACGGAGAGGCATCGCAAAGGCCACAGGTTCCGAAGACGATCAGGTTTTATCGACCAAGATATGACAAGGCGTTCCACAAGCGCTACGTCGGAACGTTTCATCGGCGGCGATGCGGAATCTGAAGTCTCCGACATGGCCGCCCTCCGCATCTCCGCCACGTGCCCCAACAACAAGACGGCCTCCTTCGTCGCCCGCCTCTGGCCAGTGCCCAAGAGTTAAAATTGCGCTCGAGAAGGACACCTGCTCGCGTCTGGTACACAAGGGATAGAACAACGCATGGTGACGAACGATTCCCCTCCTTTCCCCGATCTCCTTCGAGCGGAAAGAAATTCCTGTTCGGGTCCTGGGAAAACGCACTTTCCCGCGTTTCTGAATAGGACAGGACACTGGAGACGACGCATCAGAGATCTCCACTGAAGATTTAACTTAAAAGGGGGACGCGAAACACGTCGTCGCGCATCCTTTTATGGAGTACCAGCAACTGCAGAGGTCATGTTCAGGGGCCATGACGTAACCGGGATTCGAACCCGGACTCCCTCCCCCTCCCTCACGTGGAAGTCGAGTGCCCAACTACTCGGGCATTACCCCTCGGAGATTTAACGTTACGACAAATAACTATTAAGTTTAAGTACTCGCCTCGCCCTGCAAAATGCGTATCTGGCACTTCGAAAATTTTACTGCGAGAATTTGATGAGAAACACGCCCCAGTTCGCAGCTCACCGTTATCTTACAACTCATACGCGTAAGCCCTTTATCTTACAGCTCATACACGTAAACCCATTATCTTACAACTCATACACGTAAATCTTTTATCTTACAAATCATACACGTAAACCCTTTATCTTACAACTCATACACGTAAACCCTTTATCTTACAACTCATACACGTAAACCTTTTATCTTACAAATCATACACGTAAACCCATTATCTTACAAATCATACACGTAAACCCTTTATCTTACAACTCATAAAAGTAAGCCCTTTATCTTACAACCTATACACGTAAACCCATTATCTTACAAATCATACACATAAACCCTTTATCTTACAACTCATATACGTAAACGCTATCCCAGGACTCATGCACCAACCTATCAATTGGGGCGTGGGTAAAATGCGAACCTGTTGGCCTCACCACTTTGGACTAAAACAATTGTGTGAAATTGCTTGACGACGGGAATCTTCGATACATCGAGAGACAAGCAGCACACTCTTGGCTGGGTCAATTTTTCGCGAGGCAATTTGTGACGTCACCATAAAACGACGCCTGCGTCACGTCCAGCACGCGTCATTCGCCACGCTACGCCGCCGTCGGCCAGCTGTACGGAGCAGAGTCGAGCGTCCACAACACAGATACATCGACCCGACCTGAAGCCGTCCCGTCCACCGGCCGACCAATAATCCCTGCCCCATCGCATGCAGCTCCGCCAGAAACTAGTGCAGAAGGGCTAACCTGTTGGCCCAGTGGCGCTTACGCAATGGGGGTAAGGAGACGAGCCCTGCGTTTCGCAATGTTCGGAGGAGGTAAACATCGGGTCAGAGTGCCTCCGACCTTCAGCGCTCCGAGGACAATGCAGGAGGTCGGGGACCGGGCGGCATGCTCAGTGCCACGTCACTAGACGAGAACGCGGCGAGTCGCCTGCCGGAGCACATGCCTGACCACAACAAACAAGTCCAGCATGATAGCAGTGACGGAACAATGCACCTTCACAACGCACCTCACTCACTTCTAACAGACGCGTTTTGGGTTACTTGAGAAGGAAGGAACCCTCACCGACAGTCAAGGCCAAATGTCAAATGGATAAGCCGTGGCACGGGTTGAGAAAGCTTTGTGATAGGCCGGCGGAGAAGTTCCAAAGAGCCTCAGTATCCGTCCGACGACATCTATGCCACGTTCAGGACGGCGACTACCACGGAAGGACAGCATGCCGATCTTCGTGAACACCGAAGCGACCTGCCGACTACCGCCATCCATGCTGGCACTCTGACCGTGTTGTTTCCGTGCAAGGCAGTCTCATTGGCGCACCACAGCCCCGGCTTGGTGTGGGCTTATAACGGAGCTCGTGCATCGCGGACCAACCGTGGCGAACGAACAAGCATGGCATCCTGACGCCACGCGAAAATTGATGTCGAAATCATGCAAGGTGCATCATGAGGCCATGAATGCCGAATCCCCATATTTATTAGCACATTAAGCAACAAGAATGACGAGCAGAAGCATGATGCCGGCCACGCAAGCCAGTACCAAACACAGATGTGTTGTCTCTAACCAATGTCACACGTAGCAACCTCGAGTCTCCGGACGATGAAAGCCCAGTGCCGAACTACCATCTTCTGCAACATACCGTAGCACTGCACCGTTCACGACAGCCACACTCATAGTAGCAGGACGCCGGCAGCGCTGAGTCCTGGCCACTCTGCAGCAGAATTGGCAAGACCATGACGGAGCATACCCGCTGCAGCTTCACCGTGACTTCCGATTCCTAGGTCCGAGCCGGACAAGCCCGACCGTGAATCCAGGGTCACGGGGTGTGGAAGGGAGGGGGGGGGGGACAACTGGCTGTTCACGGCCCGGTTAGTCTGCTGATGCAGGTGCCCTGTCCCCTGAGTCTAGGCCAGGGAGCGGGTCTGCCACCGAGGCCGGTCACGCGCAGCCCGGCGTCGTGCGACCTACCTTCGTGTAGCCTGTCATCCCGACTTATTTCAGTTGTCACAGCAGACCAGTCCGGTGTCGTAACGTGAGCGGTCTCGGCCGACGGCGGTAAACTTGGTCTGACGCCAGGCGGGCAAACATACAGCGAACCCGGCAGGCAGACAAACACAGAGGTCCGCAAACGGACACACAGATGAGCATACCAACAGACGACGGACGAACACAAGAACAGCCAGCAGTATACATGAACAGCATGAACAGGCAGACAGCAGGACAGATGGACAGAAATCCACTGAGAAGGCAGACAAGCGGCCAGCCAGGAAGCGACGGTCGGACAGCCAGAGAAACAACGGACAGACAACCAGAGAGGACGACGCGGACGTTCACCTGGCTGGCTGTCACACCGCCGTCCAGACCGACCCAGTAAGCGAGTTGGCCGACGGGAGTGTGCTGTCGAGACCAGCTTGAGTGCAACGGGTGCGCATTGCCCAACAGACTATGGACTGCGGACTTTGGACGCATTCCGCACACCGCCAGTCATTGTTTTCATCGCATGCCCCGCAGATGCATTTTATTGTGTTGTATTGTAATGTAAGCTGTTTTTCATTATTTGATCTCGTTACCTTTGACTGGATTTCACTTCATCCATCCGAGGCGCCCAAAAATCCCAAATTATCATCACCATCACCACCACTCCATCCACACAATAGTCATTGCGCGGATAACTCTTCACAAACGACCGTGACTGAATGGACGACTTGCAGGCAGCTAAGACAAAACAGGCGCGCCACGCAAACTCGCCTTCCCACCAAGGTCGGACTGCCACGAGGATGAAGGCACCCGCCCTACAATCCGAGGCCGGCGGCAAATGTCTTCACCTGACATTACCAGCGGCAGGACAAAGCAAAACGGGCTGAATCTCGCCTGCATGGACCTCCACACACCAACTGAGGGACACAGTGCGGTGTCCGTCCTCTGAGGACCACGCTCGTGCTGACCTCCCGCATCCGGGTCAAAATTCGCTGGATACGCACGTCTTACTGGCCGGCGCCACACAGATGGCGGAGAAGAGTGCTGAGCCAGAGTAGCGATGCCACGCCGGGGTTAGATTTTAGGGGTCCCAGATCCTGAGACCAACACATGCTCCAGTCTTGGGTTTCATATGTTTTGATCGCGGCTTCAGATATTTAAAAAAAATATCTGGCAGATTGACATTTTAAAAAGGATGTATCGCCTATCATGCCATTCAAGCACAATGAATAAACCTTAAGAATATTAAGTGGAATGATCGCACTGAAAGGCATGCATGCAGACAGGCAGGTATGCAGACTTTTCACTAGGCCAAACTGTTGTAAGGTCTACCCGAATGGCTGGGACAGAACAGTTGCTCGATTCCCTGGAGCTCAGACTCCAGCGTCCGCAGTAGTTACGGACTCGGTCCTAAAGGGAATGCTTCACATTTGAAAATATTGAAGCATCAGATCTGTAACATCAGATATGATGAAACAACCTCACTTATGACTTTTGGTAAATATGCTCCCTAACACTTTATTGTTTGATCACGTCATCGTACCATGCACAGCATTGGTTGCCGGTCTATTGACGGCCATTACATCTATAAGTCGTGCTCACTAACGCCAGATACGAACAACTCAACCATTGTATTTTTCCTCGACCTTGATCGCCGCATGGCTCATGGAATGGCAGAATCTGAATGACGTTATTATGGTGTCATAAATATCAAAGTGACCTTAAAATACTCCCCCTGTTTCGCGCGAGTTTAGCTCAGAAAGTAGAGGTGTTTAGGTCTTTGGAATGGCAGGGTTGTGAACAGCACCGAAAGGTCCTCAAGATCGTCATCTCAGTTCAAAACCCCATAAAAATATGGAACATTCCCGAAGGGGCGTTGCACTCTTGTGCCACGAGATATAAGTGAGCTTATTACATCATATCTAATGCTTGCTTCAATTTCTTCGAATGTAGAACACTCCCTTCAAGCTGCTTTACGACAAGCAGCTGACGAATGCTGTTTGAAAAGAAGCTGCTCCAACACTTAAAAAATACGTGTAGTAGACGTGATAGACCATACATGACGTAGCTCTGACGTAGTTCTGACTGTTTCAACAGCTGCAGACCCGCACCTATCCCAGGCCGGTGTTTTTCAAAGTGATGTTACCGTAAGTCGCATGAAACGTTGACCCCAAAATAAGGATACCTGAGCGTTTGGGGGTCGGCCTAAGTTGCATCATACGCAGATAACACATTAACAGCCGCAAAGCTGGTCAAGTGATACAAAAACAAATCTGAAGTGAATGTTGCATATTGGAGGACATTACATGAAGCATCAGATACAATGAAACAAGCTCACTTAGAACTATCGATATAATTTTGAGTGGAGAAGTCTGCTTAAGGCCACATAACTTCTCGCTTTAGTAAATATGTTCATCAATGCGTCGTTGTTTGAGTACATCACCCTACCTTGCACAACATTAAAAGCCAGTCGACGGCCGTTATATCTGGAAATCGTGCTCACGAACGCCAGATAT